TAACATAGTGGATGATGTCTTTTTCCTTTTTTTCTTTTCTCTCATCTTTTCTTTTCTCTTTTCTTTTCTTTTTCTTTTTTTCTTTTCCTTCCTTAGGCCCCAGCCATCTTTATTGCCTATTCCTGACCCGGTTCACTCACTGACACTACCCGCCTGGGCCCGGCTGATGCCTGTGGTCGTGACCCCTGGTCATTCCGGCCTCTCCCTGTCTGAGCCTCAGGCCAGGCAGCGCCAGCAGGTGCACAGAGGAGGAGACAAAGTGAATCGCGCCGCCCGCGCCGCCCTTCCCAAAGCAGATGGCACCATCTCTCCACAGCTGTATGTTTCCACAACTGTCCTTTCCTGAGCCCCTGGCACCGTGTCATCACCCTGGTGATGGGACAGCGGTGCCGAAGGACAGTGTCTGGGGACAGGGCACCAAAAAGACCTCCCTCGTTGGGAGGGATCTCGTCTGTTAATTTTTTTTTTACGATTTTATTTATTTATGAGAGACACAGAGAGAGGCAGAGAGCCAGGCAGAGGGAGAAGCAGGCTCCACGCAGGGAGCCAGACGCGGGACTCGATCCCGGGATCCCAGGGTCACGTCCTGAGCCAATGTCAGGTGCTAAACCGCTGAGCCACCCGGGGAATCCCCTGTCTGTTAATTTTTATTTGAAACAGCCGGGGGCGTTCTGCGTGGCCATGTGGAAGATAGAAACGATTAAGGATTTAAAGTAATTTGCCCAAGGTCACGTAGCTAGTGATGGACCATAAATTCCAGTTCAGGTGGTCTGACTCCAGAGCCCAAGATGTGATCTGTTATGACTACTTACCTCTCTGTCATACCTGTAAGGGGCCGCTCCCATTTTCTTGGCTGCCTGCCTCCCACTTTAGAAGCTGACAAGTCCAGATGTCATCTCAGCTTCCACTGCAGCTGGCACGTAGGCCCTTGACCTAGGCTTGACAGAAGAGGTTCACCCACTAGTGATTTTGAACTGGGAGCTGGCGCCGTAAGGAGGCAGAGACGGTGGAGAATCCAAAGGTACCGAGCTGGTAGTAGCAGGAGGAGCACCATCCAAAGCTCCGTGTCTGTGGCTGCCACATGACCTGCAGCATCCACTGTTCAGTGGTAGGGGTGGTTCCTCCCTGGCTGGGTTCGGGGGCGTGCTCTTGGCGGGGGTCCACCTGCTGCCTAGCTCCCTTGTCTGGTCTCCTTTTCTAGCCTGGTTCTAATCATGTTGGAAACTCCTTGAATTACTTAATAACTCAGCAACAAATATATATATTTATATTTTTATTTTAGTTTTAGTTTATTTTTATTTATTTGTTTGTTTATTTATTTATACATATTTTTTTTTCTTCTTTTTTTCCTGCTTAATCAACCAGAGCTAGTTTCTGTTGCTTGTAACTAAGACCCCTGGCCGGCATAATATCCAAATCCATTATCCTGAATATAGGATGACTACCACATACCCCATTCCTATCTGGAAAAAAAAAAACAAAACAGCAACAACCCACATATGGATCCAGAATTTTATGAAAGTTTAACTGAGTGGAGGATGAAGGTGGCAAATTGTGTATCTTCGGGAGGACTTTCTAGCTCATCTATCTGACTACTTACTTATGATGCACTGTCGTTTGCATGGATGAATACGAGACCTTACGGTGTGTTGCCCTTAGAGTCCAGAAATGGATTTTTACCTTCCAAGTATAATTTGAATTCCAGGTCTAACTGTGAGCTTTAAACATTTTGTAATGAATTTAGCTTTTGAGTAATAATAAGAAAAAGAAATACTAAATATCTTTCCTGCTCATTATAGGAAAAATGGCTTCCCCAAACTGTAGCACTTAACAAAAAACTAAGATCACAGGGGGAAGTTGAATTGCTGAATTATTTAATATAATCTGACTCATTAGAGCCTTGGTTTCTGAGATGGAAGAGGATATGATAGCTTACATAGAGGTCACTGATACATTCCCAGATGAAATTCACTTTGAAGAAAATGAAATGTGGTTGGGTGTAACTAATCTCTCCGGCCTAATTCAACAAGGGAGTGGAGTTTGCCGTTTGACGAGGGGGTTATAATTACAAGGCATCTTGGAACTTCTGGGAGAAGCTACTGCTTCCGACGGCCACGCGGTCGACTGAGATGTCAGATTATTAGACAGGAATAAGCCATACAGAGGCCAGGGGTTTGGCCTTGGAAAGTCTAGACACCCTAACGTGATTACCATCACTCTGATCAGATTATAAAGTAAACACACTCTCTACAAAGCAAAGAATCTGATGGGGTTATTTAGAAGATGATGAAAAGCTGCTTCCTATCTCTACTGAGGACACAACAGGAAGAAATGGGACGGTTTGCAGCATCAGAGGCTTTGGGAAGATCAATGGTTCTAAGCCAGGATTACTTTGGGGACATTTTTGGTGGGAGGGTGACGAGGGTGTTGCTGGCATCTAGTAGGCAGAAACCAGGGACGCTGCTAAACATCCTATAATTAAAAAAAATAATAAAAATAAAAATAAAAAATAAAATAAAATAATTAAAAAATAAACATCCTATAATTTATAGGACAACCTCCACAACGAAGAATTATCTGGCCCCAAAATGTATAACAGTTGCCAAGCTTGAGAAACCTGAGTTAGACGTAAGGAAAACACTCTGATTCTGAAATTATATAAATAGTGGAATAGGTTTGCAGGTCCAAGACTAGTGTGAGGTGAGTGAAGCATTTGCCTTAGGCGGCAACATTTAAGTGCCAAAAAAGCTCAGTTATCAAGATAAATAATATAAAAAAAAAACAAAATCAATGCAAAAAAAAATCCATGATGAACAATATAACGACATTTTAAATAAAGACAGGATTCAGCAGAGAAGGGATCTGGGTAGGTGGAAGTTGAAATGTTATTTACCTTGATTACTGAGGCTTGGGAAACCACCCCCGGCTCCTGGCCCCCTTGAAGTCTGCGCCTGAAGGCCAGTGTGTCATTCCTCTCATCCTAGTCCTAGCCTGTTGGATTATTAAGCGTATGCAATTATTTTAGCTAAATTGTGATTTGATTATTACTATACTGGGGTTAGTCAGGTGTGGCAAAGGTACATGAGAAGGTCTTTCCAGCTCTAGAATTTCAGATCTTAGGGACTACGTTAAGTAAGGAAGCAATCCCTGTATTAAGCTGCATAGAATTTCCCTCACATGGGTTTTTAATTTCTCTGATTTATAGCCTGGCCTTGATTAGCCAAGATCACCTTCATTATGAATGGTAATATATGAGTGGAATCCCAAAGAAATATGTGGCATTAATTGCGGTCTTAGGCCATACCCTTCCGTCGTAACTCACCCTTCCCGAAAAATAACCCTTGTGTGATTTTTCCATTTTAATTAGCAAGTAAACTATTCCTGCTTTTAATCCTTTCTTCTTCCCAAAACCCTCTTCACCTCAAAACCAGCTAAGTATTCTTTTCTGGGCTCCACGGATATTGACATTATTCTATATCATTTGTCCCTTTTGTCTCTCAAAATGCCTTACATGGTTTTTGTTTATTTGTTTTTGTGGGGGGGAAGATTTTAAAATTTCTCTAACTGGCCCGGGAAATTGTCCACATCTAATTGCTAAGTTTACTATGTGGGATATAGAGTACTTTAACATAATGCTGACCCCCTCAGAAATGCCGGATGAAAGAGTCAAAGATAATTTACTATCTGGGCAGGGCAAGATAGACAGTTATAAAAAAAATTGCGATAATATTACTAATTAGGAGAAATGTGGTCTTGGATCCATATAAGAACAAACACTCTAACCATTATAGACTGCTTTCCATTAATGTCCCTGGTTTCTGTCGACGCGAGGCTGGCCTGTTAGGGTACCTGCATTCAGCAAATGTACTCGTGCGTAAAGTAACTGGATATGGGACCTACCACTTCCCCATATCCTGTCACTTAATCTAACTGACATATGTACAATTCCTTTTGATCTGTGCTAACCATCTTTATCTGAATGCATATCTCAACTTCCTATCTGTTATTTTAAAAAATGCTTTAATCAGAGGGTAGTGACAAGTTGGGTTGAATTATAGGGTTTGGGTTTAGGATTTTTTTTTCCTTTTCATTTTGTTAAAAACAAAGAAAGCAACGTCAGACTTGGGCTCCTTCTTCCTACCCACGTAGTTTCATTGCTATTGTGATGAGCTATCTGGAATTTATTTCTTGAAAAAGGAATGAGAGGAAAGAAGGAAAAAGGGAACTGAGGAACTAAGTGGTAGATGGGGAGATGAAGAATGATTCTAATACTATTTGAGTCGCCAAAGCTAGGCATTTCCAAATGTTTTCTTCTCTTTTTCTCCTTTTTCCATTCTTTTACGTTTTCATTTTGGGTCAGAAGCGAACAGACGTTTTCATGCGTCTGTCTGCTGCTTAGGTAAAGGATGCATTTAATTGTCTAGGATTTGGGACTCTGAGCTGCCTAGATGTGAGCTTTCCAGAAAATCCACCAGGAGAGGGCGGTGTGGAGCACTGAGTGCTTACTCAGGGTGTTGCCGGGGGTAAGAAGTCACTTTAGTATCCCACATTTTGGCTAAGGACAGATCATAGAGTCTCAATTGTATGCGGCTAGGTTTTCCAAATTCACAAAATCGTGATGACAACGCTTAAAGCTTCCTTTCTAATAAACTATATACATGAATATTAAGTGTGTGGGCTGCCTATTATTCTGTTTCAAGAAGAAAAACACCCTAAAACAAACAAACAAAACTATGTCCCCTAGAGAATTTTAGTTAGACCTTTGGAAAGAAAATCAAATGAAACAAATGGGATGTTTGTTCTCTTTTCTAAATAGAGAATGCCTTTTCTCTAAACAAATACTAACTCCGCATATTTTTATAATCATACCGTGGTCAACTGTCTAGTTAATTTTCTTCTCAAGCTTATTTATTATTAATTATTATTATTTATAATAGACTCCTAAGCCCAAATAAAAGAAAACAGCTTTTTAAAAAAGTACATTGAAATGTAGCACGATATTCTGTTAAAGGGGTTCTTTAATCCAGCCATTGGTTCAACAGGTTTGTGTGTATAACCGGCTAAGTTTAGGTCAGAGTGAAATGATTAGGTCTTTCAAGCAACCACTCGCAGGACTTGGACACTAAAGCTTTAAGAGATGGGAACTCTGCAGAACCACCGAGAAAAACAGGGTATATTCCTGCGGGTTCCATGAAGACCAGATCCAAGGGCGGCACCAAGATGGATACATCATCGTGTTTTGTGAAACTCAGGGGAGAGAGGGAGTTTGCAGAGCATTTCCTTATAGAGGTTATAGCAGAAGACTGTGCGTACAGCCGGTGCTCAATAAATGAAATGCCAAGAATAAGGCCCTTAAAGGTTGTGTGAGGGCTTGATGTGAGCCGATATGTGCGGTTCTGGTGTCTGCTGTAGCCGGTGGGTTCTCTGCGTAGTTCACGGAGCTCTGAGGATGACGACTTGGGGGTGGGGAGCGAGCAGTAGTGTGGACGGTCATGGCTTCTAGGTTATGCTTCTGAAACATCTGCTTATTTTTGTTGTTTCAAACTCGTGCTTTCAGTCCTGATACGTCCCATATGGCCCCGTTCTAGAGGGGTAGAGAATGTAGGGCAAAGTCAGGGAGTCTTTTCTACTGAAAATCTCCCCTTCCGCCCCTTGAAGAAGGTGAGGGACCTGAGTAGAGAGTGTGATGTCAGGGTTAAGACAGAGCAACCGCCATACATGACCGGTGAGGAAAAGTTTCAAATCCAAATATTTATTACGTAGTGAATACAATAATTTAAGGTCACAAGAACTTTACACTATTCTTTTTCTTTCTCCTTAAAAATGCCATTAAAATTTATTTATTTATTTATTTATTTATTTATTTATTTATTTATTTATTTATTTGAGAGAGAGAGAGAGACAGAGAGAGAATGAGCATGAGCATGATGTGGGTGGGGTCAGGGAATCTCAAGTGGGATTTCAAGCAGATTCTACAGCAAACACAAAACCCAGCTCGGGCCTTGATCCTATGACCCTAAGATCATGACCTCAGTCGAAATCATGAGTTGGATGCTCAACTGACCGAGCCACCCAGACGTCCCTTAAAAATGATATTTTGATTTCATCATGTAGCTATTAACTCTGAAAGAAGCTGATATTGGAAACATTGACTTGGAACTAGATTTTTCTGTTGCTTTATATTAAAAAAAAAACAACAACAAAGGAATAGTGCAAAGAATCTCCAGTGTGAACTTCAGCCGTGAGATCTGAACCGACGATGCTCTAGAGAGCAAAGAAAAATGGAAATATCTTCACATCAGTGTTGACTTAAATAGTAGAGACGGACTCCTTTGCAAAGAAGTGAGCCGCCCCCGCGTTTACTCAAGTGTGTCTGTTCTGTCCAAATCAGTTATGAGGGCAGTTATGGAGTTCCTTTAAAAATGTCCCTGCTTCTCAGTGGCCTTGATTCTCAGGGTGAAATCTTGCGGTGAAATCTTTTCCAGATCCCCTTCCCTGTAAGGGGCTGAGTGAGAGGAATCATGGAACGTGTTTGGAAATAGAGCTTTAGAACTCCTTCAGCCTCAGAGGACTTGCTCGGGGCAACATCTAACAAAACAAATTATGAAACACCCACTGTGGAAGCAGCAGCAGCGCTCCTTTAAGGTATGGTTAATTGAGCCAATAACACACACGGAGGAACAGCCCAAAGCACTTGCGTTTCAGTCTCCTGGCTCACTTACTGGGCATACTGGGCATGTCCTAACAGCCTCGTAAAACACAACCAATTGTCTCTTATTTCGTAATTAGCATCTTGTAGAGTTGACAGTATGGTTATGATTGGATCGAGCCAGAAACGAATGCCCACTTTTACCTGCACAGAACATAGCCTCCTCACGGGAACTAAAGGAATAGCGTGGAACAGGAGAGGAGGAGCTGCCCACTACGTGAAGACAAAGCAAAAATGTTATCAGGAGCTCCTTCAAACCTTTAGAGAAGAAAATAACAAAAGTAAGCCGGATCTTAGCTCTATGCATGATTCCTTAGTCTGCTTAGTCAGCTGCCTCCTCCTTCGCAGAAGACTGGCTGGGTACAAGCGGAGTCAGAAGAATCAAGTACCAGGTGCAAGCTTACCTTCTTTTCATAGATTATCTCATTTAATCCTACCAACCAACCACCAGGAAGATACGACGACTGTCTCCTTTTACGGGTGAGGGAAATGAAGCACAGAGAGGGAACGTTGGGCTCCAAAGACACATTTTCAGGGACTCTGGAATTCTGTGAGAATTAGCATTTTCTATGATCTTATCTTTTGTTTTAATCTGAAAAAAAATTAACATAAGCATGTTTGCGGAATCACATCATAATTGGGTATGGGCCTGTGTTGTAACTTCTTTTTGCCTATGTAAATTCCTGCCTCCTGTGAAGCCACAGACTTGGCGAGAGAAGGATTTAGTCATTAAGGTCACATGCTTCTGACCGTCTTATGATATACTCCACGGAAGGAAGAAAATCTCTAAATACAGTCTGTATCCCATGTTGGGGTCTTTTCCTTTCTTCATTGGCTGCCAATTCTCAGTGGCTGTTTTGTTTCCCTAATTTTTTATGTATTTTCAGTGTAGAAAAAGTGGAGATAAGGGATTCTCTGCCTTCCTAATATTATCTGTATTCCTACAGTTATGATGTTGAAAAATTACGAGGATTCCGTTGGGATAGGTGCTTTAAAAGAGAAAGTTTGTCTTAAGGCGCTAAGTGAGGCCCTTGGGAAAACTGGTACAGCCTTCACATGTTTCTGAACAAATGAATATCTTTGTGGTTATGTTGTCAAAGTGAGAAAAGAATGTCATGTCATGCCACCCAAATAATTTTGAAATAAACTTTTCATTTTGTAATATGTTAGATTTATAGAATAGCCACAACTATAGTAGAGTTCTTGTCTATTTCTTACCAGTTTCCACTAACGGCAATTCTTAACTTACACATTTGTCAAAACTAAGAAATTGATATTTACACATTATATTTATTTATTTACTTATTTATTTTTTAAGATTTTATTTATTTATTCACGACAGACACACAGAGAGAGGAAGAGACACAGGCGGTGGGAGAGGCAGGCTCCATGTAGGGAGCCCGATGCAGGACTTGATCCCGGGACCCCGGGATTATGACCTGAGCCGAAGGCAGATGCTCAATCATTCAGCCACCCAGGCAGCCCTTAAACATTACTTTTAACTAAATTCCAGATTCTATACATATTTCACCAATTTTTACCAATTTTTTCTGTTCCAGGATCCAATTCAGGAGACCACACTGCATTTATCTTCTAATAATTGTGTCAGAAATATTAAATAATTATTTTAAATATTTATTTATTTGTTTGAGAGAGAGAGAGAGTGCGCTTGAGCAGTGGGAGGGGCAGAGGGAGAGGAGAAGCAGACTCCCCACTGAGTGTGGAGCCTGACACAGGATTTGATCTCACAACCCAGAGATCATGACTTCGGTTGAAACCATGAGTTGAAAGCTTAAGCAACTGAGACACTTAGGTGCCCCTGTCGGAAGTATTTTAAACAAAAATCTCAACTAATATTTGATTCTTCTTCATTCTAAGAATTAGTATGTTGCAGTTACAACAAACGTTTTATTAATATATCATGAAATAAATGTTTAATAATACCCTTTCTTCCAATTTTCAAATCAGAGTACAAATCAAAACATTTCTTACACAATTTACTATCTAATTTTACTTTAAGTATGGAAATTTAATTTTAACTAGTCTTTTCCTCTTACTATGTTTAGATAACTAGTTGGCTAGATGGGTTTCTTTAAAATACATAAGACAAAAAAAAATAAAAAAAAATACATAAGACAGGCTATTAGGATCTATAGATAAAAAGAATAAGTTTGATGTCTGTATAACCAGAACTATGTACAATGTGCACATCCATTCTTTGAGCTAAAAATTAACAAATTGATAAAACAAAAATAGTTTTGATGCATTACAGAACCTTCAGATGAATACCTGGACAGTAAAGCACTGTCAGATGGTAATCACTCTCTGCCTGCCTCTTGATACACAAATGTATACCTTCAAACAGATATGCAGTGTTATGATAAAAAAAGTAAAGTTTCTTTCTTTTTTTTTTAAGATTTTATTTTATTTACTCATGAGAGATACAGAGCGAGCGAGCGAGAGAGAGAGGCAGAGACACAGGCAGAGGGAGAATCAGGCCTTATGCAGGGAGCCCGACGTGGGACTCGATCCCGGGACTCCAGGATCATGCCCTGGGCCAAAGGCGGTGCTAAACTGCTGAGCCACCGGGGCTGCCCTAAAGTTTTCATTTATTTCAGCAGTATTATATTTCACCACTATCACCTGTATAATATCATGAAATAAACCTCACTGAATATGTAGCTTACATATCAGGGGTAAGGTACTTAATACAGTTTTTTTTTTTAACCTTTACATTTTTTTGGTTCAATAAATAACTCGTCATATCCAGGAAAATGAACACTTTCCAAGAAGCCAAACTCACTCCTCTTCCCCTTTATATATTTTTACTGAACTGTGGCAGTTAGCTAGTGTACTATATGGCAGATAGCTCTACGCATTTATGTCTTTGCTGTCTGAAGAATTCAGCTAAGTTCGCCTACCTCCTGATCTTGACCTGAACTCACTTACGTGTCTGGGCACGGGCTATGAGGCAGCTGGTTTGGCTGGGCTTAGTGGGATGACTGGGTTCTGCTCCACATGACTCTCACTTTCCTCCTGGGCTAATGGACTAGCTGGGTCTATCCTCCTCATTGTGATGGTAGAAGCACAAAGCAAGCCCAGGTTTTCATGCTTCCTCTTGCATCACATCCACTATTGCTCCATTGGCCAAAACAAAGCAAGTGGCCAAACTTCTGATCAAAGGGTGAGAAAATATATCCCACATCCTGATGGGAGGAATAGCAAAGTCACCTGGAAAAAGGCACAGAGACAGAGACGGCTGCAAATGTATTGATCAACTACCAGCTTCTTTCAAGGATTTAGCCGTCTCGTAACAGGGGCCTATGTCACAATGTTGGAAATTCAGTACAGCCTGGGTTTGTAAGGAATACATACAGAAACATTTCAAAGCCTGAAATTGCAAAATACAGCACCTAACTTCTGTCATAAGGTTTAGCAAAAGCAATCAGTAGGGTGGAAATCATGATTTACAGGTTTTATAGACCCAGTTAGCACTTAACTGAATCACACATGCCCACATCACTGATGAGGACTGATTTCTCAGTCTTGGACCACCTAAGAATGCCCTTTCCTTTTATATCCTTGATCGTCATTCCGGAAAATTCAGGTTATTCTTCATGTGGGAATGGCAGGAGGCAGAGGGCTACATGCAATTCAGAGAATGGATTCATTCTGAGTAATAAATGTATTTATTTTCATCATACCTATAAACATTGACTTTTTTTGAAGGATGTTATTATGTGGCAAGGTTTCAGGGTATTTTTAAGAGGTATGACAGGAATCAATTTCTTAAATAAGCACTGAATTATCACAGCTACTTTTTTTCCAAATGGATAATTCTAGGGAGGTTTAAAAAATCCTGTCTTTACTCCATTTTGTGATGTAAATAATTTAGGATAATAAAGCAGAGTGAGGTGAAGATGAGTGTTATGGTCTGAATTTTTGTGTCTTCCCCGATCATATGCTGAAATCCTAATGCCCAAGGTGATGGTGCTAGAAGCTGGGGCCTTTGGGAGGTGATGAGGTCATGAAGGAGGAGTCCTTATGATGGGATTAGGACTTTTAAACAAGGTCTGAGAAAACTCCCTTCTGCCTTCCCCAAGTGAGAAGACAAGAAGTTGACAGCTTCACCCAACCTTACTGACACCCTGATCTCAGACTTCCAGATTCCATAATTGTGGGAAGTAGTTGTCCATTGTTTATAAGGCACCCAGTCTGTGGCATTTTGTTATGAGAGGACTAGGACAATACGGGAAAAAAAAAATGTAACTTTTTTGTGTACTTAGCATGACTTATGAGCTGACAACCTAGCTTAAATTTTCCCACCCCACCGATGTTTCAAATGAATCAAGTACTCACAACACTCAGTAAACAAAACAACAGCAATAACGACCAAAAAAAAAAAAAAAAAAAAAAAAAAGGAAGGAAGAAAGAAAGAAAGCACAAAAAAATAGAAGAGGAAGTGGCTTATTTACTTGGGTTAGACAAGCAGTAGAGATAGTGATGGCATCAATTGCTCATCACCTAGACTCTCCTACCCTTGGTTTCAAGATAGAATATTTTTACCATCTGGGCATTGTTCCTCAGGGTGTCATGAAAACACTAATGACTTCCCCTGAACTAGCCTAATTTGCTCCTAAATTCTTGTAATTTTTCTGTTTCTTAGAGCAGGAGTCAAATCAGGCAGAGTTAGATTGCAGATTGTCTTCTGAACTAGCAAGTCAGCCCCAAGTGGGGCTGGGCATACATGCGGGCACTTCCATCCCTCTGTACTTACCTGTCCGAGCACAGCTTACTCTCCATCAGTCCCTCTCCTGCAAGGTTGGAGGATGGAGTGGAGTTCTCAGGAAGCTGAGTGGTAAAGCTGCCTCACTTGCTTGTTTATTCTCAATATCCAGCCTGAGAAGTAGAGAGAGAGTGATTTAGCCACTTTTCGGCTCAATGACTAAGCTAGTCAATGAGATAATCAATTAATCCCATTGATTAATGAACAAGAACAAACTTCCAAACGCTGATGCGGACCAGTTCACGGTTGTTGTTTTTGAAATCATGATTTACGAAACAAAGAAACAAAGCTTGCTACTGGAATGTTAACATTAGTATGGCCTGCACTTTACTTTTCAAAATTGAGGGAGGCGATGGGGATGGCACTGGGCGATATTCTGCACAGTAATATTTCATACGTATAGACCATAACCTGTGGTGGTTTTTTCATCCCGGGTCCTTAAAGGTCACAAACAAGACACGAGTCTTGTAAACACCCACAAAGCGAAAGGGCTGCATTTCAGAGAAGGCTCTTCCTCTCTGGTCTCCCATCCATCATGCTTTTGTATCTCCCTCCCTTGCTTCTCCCTCCTTCTCTCTTTTTCTTTTCTAAATTTATAGACATGTTGCAAGAATAATACAATGAACTGTCTCATATTGTTCACCTAGATTCACCGATTATAAACCAAACACTTGGGGCGCCTGGGTGGCTCAGTTGGTTAAGTGTTCGACTCTTGGTTTTTGCTCAGGTCACAATCTCATGGATCTTGAGATCAAGTCCCACGTTGGGCTCCATGCTCAGCGGGGAGTCAGCTTGAAGATTCTCTCTCTCTAACTCCCCCCCACCCCCGACTCTCTCTCTCTCTCAAATGGATAAATCTTTTTTTTTTTTTTTTTTTTATGATAGTCACACACACAGAGAGAGGCAGAGACATAGGCAGAGGGAGAAGCAGGCTCCATGCACCGGGAGCCCGACGTGGGATTCGATCCCGGGTCTCCAGGATCGCGCCCTGGGCCAAAGGCAGGCGCCAAACCGCTGCGCCACCCAGGGATCCCTCAAATGGATAAATCTTTAAAAAAAATAAACCAAACACTTTGCCACATCTGGTATCTCTCTTCACATGTAATTACTATTATTATTACTATTACTATTTTTTCAGAACTCGTTGAGAGTAAATTGCAGACAACGTGGCCCTTTACCCCTAATCTAAATATTTTAGCATGCATATCCTGGGAGTGACAACATTCTCTAACATAATCATAGTGCAATTATCAAATACAAAAAACTTAACATAGATTTAATAGATTTTTTAATAGATTTTTTCTTTCATGACATAAACATTTCTGAAATAGAGCTTTTTTTTTTTTTTTCTTTTTTCTTTTTTTAAGACTGTCCCTCACTTTGGGTGTGTGTGGTATTTCCTGAGGATCAGATTTAAGATAATACCCTTTCGGCAGGTATAATACATTAAATGATAGTGTGGTCTTAGAGCATCATGAAAGAAGGCATGTGATGTCAGTTTGTCCCATTAGTGATGCTAAAATAGAACACTTGGTTTTATATCTACCAGATTTAGCCATTGTAAAATCATTTTTACTTTCATAATTAAAAAATAACCTGTGATGAGGTGTTTTAAGGTGGTATAGATGTCCTGCTCTCCATCAAACTTTCACCTAACAGTTTTTGCATCTACTGATGCATCTCACCTGAGTTTATTATTATTATGATGGCTGTAAAAATGGTGACTCTTTTGTTATTATCCAGAAGATAGAAAAAAAAATTTATTTAATTATTAATTGGGAGCCTGATTTTGTTATACATAATTTGAATACTAAGACCTAAGAAGTTTCCTAAATTCAACATCAGAATTTTCTATTTCTGTCAACATTAGAATTTTCTAATTTCCTTTTATTTTTTTAGTGATAATACTGCATAGTGGTAATTCCTGTAATGAATAGTTAATGTTTATTAAATGCTTATGTGTTGGGCACTATAGAAAGCACTTATGGTGCCTCATTTGTCTCACAGTTATTATTAGCTTTATTTTGCCAAGGAGAATAGGAAGGATCAGAGAGGTTAAATACCCGGCCTAAGGTCGCATAGCTAGTTTGTCCTGAACAGCTAGTTTTGCATCACTCACCATCGTTTGTGCTGTGAAGTAATCAAATGGGAAGGAATTGCTCTGCCCTGGGAATGTGGTCAGCGCCTTTGCTTCCAGTTCCAAGGCCAGCTCTACTGTTAAATATTGAGTCTCTTTCAGTGCAGCCACGAGCTGGAGGATTCAACTAGCACGGAGGTGAATTCAGTCTCTGATGTGAAATAGCGTAACAGAAACTGTGATGTAGCACAAAGCAGTGGTTTTCAAATGCTCTCAGGAGGCATTTTTTCCCCTTTTGTGACCAGAGGTTTTGGATGAGTTTCCTTTTTTCTTCTCCTCCCCATTCCCCCACCCCCACCAGTTTTACTGAGATGGAGTTGACCTGCAATACTGTATGCACTTAAGGCATACGGTACAATGGTTTCATATATGCACATCAAATACCACAAGTCACAAACGCAAAAATGATGCTCTTCGTTGTTTACAGTAGCCCCCCCCCTTGTCCTTAGAGAATATGGTCGGAGGCCCAACACCCGGCCCCATGCCTGACACTGCATATGTCATACATACTACATATGCAGGATGTACTGTTTTCTCCTATTCATACGCATCTAAGATAAAGTTTAATCTGGGGACGCCTGGGTGGCTCAGTGGTTGAGCGTCTCCCTTTGGCTCAGGTCGTGATCCCCGGGTCGGGGATCCAGCCTGCTCCTCCCTCTGCCTGTGTCTCTGCCTCTCTCTGCGTCTCTCATGAATAAATAAATAGAATCTTTAAAAAGAAAAAAAAAAACAGTTCAATCTGTAAACTAGGCACACTAGGAGATTAGCAGCATTAGCACAATTATAATATTTTTAAATTAAAAAAAAAGATTTTATTTATTTAATTGACAGAGAGCAAGAGAGCAGAAGCGCGAGGAGTAGCAGAGGGAGAGGGAGAAGCAGGTTCCCTCGCTGAGCAGGGAGCCCAAGGCGGGGCTCGAGCCCATGACCATACGGGGCTTGATCCCATAACCGTGGGACCATGACCTGAGCCCAAGGCAGACGCTTAACCCCCTGAGCCACCCGAGCCACCCGAGCCACCCGGGCGCCCTTATGACAATATATTGTAATGAAAGCTATGTAAATACGGTCTCTCAAATTCCCTCCTGGGCTGCGCTGGCCCTTCTGGTGGTGCCACAAAATGGCAAAATGCCTGGGCGAGGAGATGACGTGGCCTGAAGGGCGGTGGGCACCTGCCGGCCTACGAATTCATCACAAGAAAGCAGGTGCTTGCAGACCGCGGCTGACCCCGGGTGACACCTGCTGACCCCGGGTGACACCTGCTGACCCTGAGTGACACCTGCTGACCCTGAGTGACACCTGCTGACCCCGGGTGACCCCTGCTGACCCCGGGTGACACCTGCTGACCCTGGGTGACCCCTGCTGACCTTGGGTGACACCTGCTGACCCCGGGTGACCCCTGCTGACCCCGGGTGACACCTGCTGACCCCTGCTGACCCCGGTGCCGACGCCGAGGCCGAGGCAGGCGAAGGCGCCGAGAGGGGACGACAGCAGGTCGCTGCCGGCGAGCCGCGCTTCCTGCCGCAGCCCCACTGCGCGTGTCGACGCCCCATTTTTCGCGCACGGACACCGTAAGGAAGGACCGAGGGCGCCCTGCCGCGCTCGGCCTCGTCTCGGGGTCCTCGCCTCGCCGTGCGGCCGAGCGGGAGTCGGCGCGGAGCCGCGAGCCCTCCCGGCCCCGGGAGACGGGCCGCGGCCCAGGGAGACCCGGCCCCGACGCGGTGCAGGCGGAGGCCGCGGGGGAAAACCGCGTGCGAACGGGGCCTGGCGGCGGACGCGGCTTCCCGCCCGGGCCCGCCCGCCGCACCCGCGCCCGCAGCCCCCGCCCGCCTCCCGCAGGGGCGCCCCGGAGCCGACGCGGGGCGGGGCCAGCCGCCTGACGTCACCACGCGGCGCCGCCCGCATCGCCCCGCCGCCCGCGCCGCCGGCGCCTCTTTGACGTCACCGCCGCCCGACTGCTCTTCCCGGAGGCCGGCGCCCGAGGCCCGCGAGGTACGGCCGTTCGGAGCTGGGGCGGGAGTTTCTCTCGTGTTTCTGCACAGTTCGCCCCCTCTGGGAGCCCCCGCGGTTTTCACACCCGGCTGGCCGACAGGAGCGCCACCCCCCCCCCGCTCACCTGGGCCCCTCACCGGCGCGCTCCCCCCGGCTCACCTGCGCCCCTCACCGGCGCGCCCCCCCCGGCCTCACCTGGGCCCCGGGTCCCTCACCGGAGCGCCCCCCCCCGGCTCACCTGCGCCCCTCACCGGCGCGCCCCCCGCCCGGCCTCACCTGGGCCCCGGGTCCCTCACCGGCGCGCCCCCCCCCGGCTCACCTGCGCCCCTCACCGGCGCGCCCCCCCCCCCGGCCTCACCTGGGCCCCGGGTCCCTCACCGGCGCGCCCCCCCCGGCTCACCTGCGCCCCTCACCGGCGCGCCCCCCCCCGGCCTCACCTGGGCCCTGGGTCCCTCACCGGAGCGCCCCCCGAGCCCACCTGGGCCCCTCACCGGCCCGCCCCCGCGGCTCACCTGGGCCCCTCACCGGAGCGCCCCCCCCGCTCACCTGGGCCCCTCACCGGAGCGCCCCCCCCCGCGGCTCACCTGGGCCCCGGGTCCCTCACCGGCGCGCCCCCCGCGGCTCACCTGGGCCCCTCACCGGAGCGCCCCCCCCCCCCGCGGCTCACCTGGGCCCTGGGTCCCTCACCGGCGCGCCCCCCGCGGCTCACCTGGGCCCCTCACCGGAGCGCCCCCCCCCGCGGCTCACCTGGGCCCCGGGTCCCTCACCGGCGCGCCCCCCGCGGCTCACCTGGGCCCCTCACCGGAGCGCCCCCCCCCCGGCTCACCTGGGCCCTCACCGAGGCCCCCCCCCCGGCTCTGGGCCCCTCACCGGCGCGCCCCTCCGGCTCACCTGGGCCCCTCACCTCTCTCCATCCAGCCTGCAGGTGGCTTGTCTGTGTTTCTCCCTGTTCAGCTCCTCTGGCACCTCGGCAGGGGGAGGAGCCCTGAGGTGACGTCACAGCTGTCAGGGCCCCCGTGGCAGAGCGAACGCCGCACTCGTGACGTCCACGAGGTCACCTGGTTGATGTATTTTCACGCCCCCGGAGGTCGAGGTGCCTCGGCCGAGGTTCAGGTGCCTTGAACGCGCCTCTGTTGGCCGCGATCCCGTGTCTGCGGGACGCAGGTGTCTGCCCCGCCAGCGAGCTCTGGGCGGCCTGATCCTGTCCCCGGCCGGGAGTCCCTGTGTCCTGACGACGCTGGGTCCCAGGAGTCGGGCAGGCAGTCTCCTGCTGAGACTCAGGAAGCCGCTTGCGGCTGCTGTTTGGTTGAAAGGTGGAATAACGGGCGTGCGGGCGCGGCTGCATCCCGGGGCGCCCATCCCGGGGCTGCATCTCGGGGCTCCATCGCGGGGCTCCTCCAAGGTGCCGCGGGATGCTGTAGCGGCCTTCAGGTGCCAGCGCTGTCTGCGTCCCACTCGGAGGACGCTCTCAAGCGGTTCCTTACAGTTGTCTCAGCCACCGATTCCAAGCAGTTGGCCCTTCCATATGTTTTTTTTTTCAATATGGGTTCATTCATTCATTCATTCATTCATGAGACAGAGAGAGAGAGAGGCAGAGACACAGGCAGAGGGAGAAGCAGGCTCCATGCAGGGAGCCCGACGTGGGGCTGGATCTCGGGACCCTGGGGTCACGCCCTGGGCCAAAGGCAGGCGCCCAGCTGCTGAGCCACCCAGGGATCCCCACAATATGGTTTTGAATGGTCTACATTGGATCAGGATATTTGATCCTTTTCACTCTAGTAAATTAGTAAACTGTTGCTACCTGCAAATGTACTGACTGGTAACCGAGCCAAGCACTGTTCTAAAAGGTTTACCAATATTGTTCATTTCACTTTTACGATAGCCCTATATACTGTTACTATTTTAGAGATGAGACTGTTGGAGTAAGCAAATTCCCCGGTTCTGGAAGGTAGTTTTGCTGCTTCATAACTAATTTTGAAAACGCTTTGAGGTAAACACTAGCATTAATAATAGAAGTACATTCATTGTGTAATTTGATGTAGTTATTCATCTCAATTTTGAGCGACCTTTTGTGATTTAGATCTTCTGTTATTGGACTTTGGGATAAATTTGGCTTTTTTGGAGGTCAACACCTTTAAAAGGAAAAAGTCAATCTTAGGGATTTTACTGTAAGTCTGAAGGAGAATTATAGGTGGCATCGACACGGACTGTCTGCTAAAGGAACAACATTATTGATAGACTGTTGTGTGTACTTTTCACCATTATTTTCTAAGATAAAGCAGTACAAAGAGGTCATTATGGTAATAGAAATCTGGTGCAGCATCTGCAGATGTCTCTCTAGTTCCAAAAAAATTATAAATTGCATTTTTTTTTCTGGCTTAGTTCATAATCATATGTAACTCTACTTAGCATAGGAGTGGAAGTAGCCCCAGAATGTACATTATGGTGTATTTTTGTTTTGGATCTATGTGGTGACTTCCTAATATCTTTAAGTACAGACTCTAATCCATATTAAGATTCCCCAAGGTTTGTCCCCAGTTTGCTTTCTTTGGTTTTGGACAGGTAGCAAACAGTTATATGTACCTAATATGTGGGAAGACCTTGCATTAGTCATGTGCAGATGCAAATGTCATGCAAAGTAAGTCTTGCCTTGAAGGAACAGCATAGAGGATAAGTAACCAGTGGAATGCTCTGCGCAGAGGGGTGTCAGGACCTGATTTAGCTTTTAACAGTATCACTCTGGCTGCTATGTTAAGAATAGATTGGTGGAGAGTGTGGTAGGCAAAAGCCAAGAGACTAAATAGGAAGGTGTTGTAATAATTCAGTGAGATTATACTGACTTCATAGGGTGAAAAGAAGTGAGTGCGGTGAGAGGCAGTTCAATTTTGGATGTATTTTGTCGGTAAAGCTAACAGATTTGTTTATGGATTGAAAATGGATTGTAAGAGTGAAATAATTGTCAGGATCTGGAGCTCGAGCAACTAGAAGGATGGAATTGCCATGAACTAAGGAGTGAAAAACTAAGGAGCCAGTTTGTGGGGGAAGATTAGAAGTTCCGTTGTGACATGTTAGGTTTGAGATGACTGTAAGTCATCCAAGTGGAGATGTCGAGTTACTCAACCTGGAGTTCATTGTGGCGAGGGAGTTCATTGCTGGAAAAGAACATTTGGGAGTTGTCAGTGAGCAGATGGTATTTAAAATAGGGAGACTGGAGATAATCACCAAAGAAGTGAATGTACAGAAAAGAAAAGTAGTACAAGACCTGAGTCCTTAGGCAATCTAGCCTTTATAGATTTGGGGAGATGAAGAACCAGGAAAGGAGACAGAATGAATGAATCACTGGTGAGAAACAAGGACAGTTTTGAGAGTCTAGTGTTGTAGGATTCAGGGCTGAATAGTGTGATCATTTTTGTCGAATGCAATGAACAAACGGACCAAGTAAAATGAGGTTTGACACCATCGGATTTATCAAGATACATTAGAAGGAGTATGACTGATGAATATATAATAAGTCTGGAGAACCTTGGGAGCAAAGAAGAGATACTTTTGTTTGGGAGCTATGAAAGCCTTTTGATGCTGGTTTAAAGAATTGATGTTTCACCAGGCTCAGAATACAAGGGGTGCAGTGTGAGGATGGGGTACTCCAGCCAGGGGGAAAGGCCTTACTCTTTCCCTTCAAGACCATACTTCCCAGTCAGTTGTTTTAAGGATGCTTTTGCAAGTCCTTGCTCAGCCATTCCCTCATTCTGGATAGCTATTCTTGCTCTAGGCCTACAGAACACTACTAAAGAAATTCACAGAAGACACGATTTAATGTTAGTTATCCTCAACCAGATCCTTGCTCTGTTCCCTGACAATTCTTTTATTTATCCCTATTCCTCCTAGCACATAATCTACAGTGCCATGTAAATGAATAATGTTTACTGAGCACTTACTACATGCTGGGCACTGAGGATTCGTTTATTTAATGGATACTTATGTAGCATCTATGACATGCTGCCATGATGCTTGGAATATAATAATGAGCAAAGACTTGCCCTGTACCAGGCTTACAGTCTAGCGTGGATGGTGGACAATCATCAGATAATCACAGAAATACAAAATTATAACAATGATAAGGAGAAACCAGGATGCCATGAGACTCTAACATGTGGATATGACTTGATCTGAGTGATGAGCGAGCTGGGTTAAGTAGGCAAAAAATGGTGGTGACTGGGAGTCCTCACAATTCTAGGAGTTCTAAGAGAACAAGACTGTAGAGGCGTATGTACCATGAGAATAGGGAGAAAATGGCTAGAAAATTTATGTGTAGAAAAAGGAATCTATTCATATGGTTTTGAATGAATATAATAGGGCTAAAGAATGTAAGTTTGAGGGGCACCTGGCTGGCTCCGTGGTTGAGTGTCTGCCTTTAGCTCAGGTTGTGGTCCTGGGATTGAGTCCTGCATCAGACTCCCTGCAAGGAACCTGCTTCTCCCTTTGCCTGTGTCTCTGCCTCTCTCTGTGTCTCTGATGAATAAATAAATAAAATCTTAAAAAAAAATAATATAGGTTTGATTTTAGCTGCTAAGTTGGGGGAAATGACACTTTATCTGGCATATTTGGGAATAAATTCAAAGTTTCAGATAATTGGAAAAATTATTAAATGTAAATATAATTATTATATTGTATCTATTGTTTAAAAATCATGATTCTGAGAGTATGACATAAAATGTGCTCCCTTATCTTCCTGCTTTTTGGTTTCCCAGAAGTAGCCATACTTAGCAGCTACTTTTATATCCTTTAAGACATTTACATGCATATCCAAGTATGCCTCTATACTCCTTTTTTTCTTAAAAACAAATGGGTTGTATTAGATATGCTGTTCAGTTTTTGTTCACTTAATATATCTCAGGAATTTGTTCTCTACTTCATACTTTTTCACTGCCTCAGAGTATTTTATTGAATGTGACTATATCATAATTTATTTAACCAGTTCCTGTTAATGGGCATGCAGATTG